CCCTTTTTCACGCTTGCGGGCCCTCATAATGGTCCGGAATTCAAAAATTTTACTTGGTTTTTTTTTATTTTACTTTGCTTTGCAACTACCATGCGCTTCAAGATTTATCAATTGACAGGGTTGAAAATTGTTTAATTTGACATATGTCATTTGTCGTTTCTTCTACTTTTTTTTTTGGTCTTTTATAGTTTGTGCTATTAGGGTCATGATTAGTACAAGATTTTATAGTATAAGTTTTTTTTTTTCTTTTTTTAATTTTCTTATTTATTATTATTTTTATTATTATTATTATTATTATTATTGCTAGTTATTATTATTACTATTATTATTATTACTATTATTATTATTACTATTATTATTATTTTTTTTTTTTTTGGTGTCATCGGCGTCGACTACTACGGCCATTAGCCTCGTGTTCTGTGTAGGCTTTGTTACTGTTTCCCAGCGCCACTTTAGGAACAGCACTGTTAATTAGAACCCAACAGTGAATGGTCGAGTGGGGAATCCTACCTATGCATTAGAATTAATATTTAATTTTTTAATTAAATAAAAATTCCTGCCACCGGTGGGATTCGATCCTGAGACCTTCCAAACTCAGAGTCATGACTCTAACCACTAAGCCAACCCACCCCTATTATTATTATTATTGTTATTATTATTATTTTGCTTATTTTTATGTTATTAGTTATTTATCAAGTAGTATAATTTTATAATAAGTTAAAATACATTTGATTTAAGTATTGAATGTCACAGCGATCATTGATGGTATTAGCGTTTTTTTTATATGTATCATTTCGAGAAATTCGCGTTTTTTCAAATTTTGTTTTGTGTCGAGTATTGTTACATTGTTGTAGTCAAATTCGTGTCCTGTCTCAAGTTTGTGTTTCCCTAAAGCTGTTAATGCGTTTTTTTGTGTTTTTGTTTCTACACAAGAATGACCCATTTTAATGTATGTTTAATCCCAATAACTAAAAAATATACTGGCAGTTAGTTCGACAGAATAGTCACTTATTTAAAATTTCAAAAATAATAGCAGTCTGTTGATCAAATTATGAACGGTGATTGGTGGATTTAATTTTTTGCAGTGTTCTCACTACCTAAAATGGATATGAAATATATTCGGTCAGTTGAAGGCAATAGCATACTTTTTGGTTTTGTAATCTGTGCGTGGATAAGCTAATATCCATGTGAGTGTAGGAAAAAGTATGCTATTGCGTTTATCTGAATAAATATACTTCATATCTGTTCTAGATAGTCAGAACACTGCAAAAAAAATGAAATCCACCAACCACAGTTCATATTTTGGTCAACCGACTGCTATTATTTTTAAAATAACTTTTAAATAACTGATAATTTTGTCAAACTGACTGTCAGTTAGTTATTGAGATTAAATATACAATAAGATGAGTTATTTTTGTGTAGAATCGATAAATAATAGCTATTTTATGTTTGTTTCATCCACATTTGCAATAAATTTTAAATTTTAATCAAACTATATACTGTACAACTCGAATGAATTGTCCATATCTACTCTTGTTGCACAAACTACTATTATTTATGTACTGTTTATGTGTATTAGAAATGTCTAGAATAAATAAATTAATACTTCTACTACTAATAGAACAAAATTTGTATTAATATAAAAACAGAATAAGTTTAATAAAGAGTTAAAACATTTTCATTTGTATAATTTAATCGATTTATTTGTGAAGTAAATATTTTAAAAAAAATGGATTTAAATTAAAATACACCAACAATCTAAAGGTGGGCAACCCCTCCACCAACTTTTTAATTTTTTTATAGATACTGGCGTAATACGCAACCACCAAATTTTTAAATAAATTTAGATTATATAATATGAAAAAAACTCTCCGAAATGGTGGCAAATCATGAGTATCCACCATAATTTAAAAGCTAGCTATCAACCTTCACCAATTTTATTGCTAATAATATTACGTAAGACAGGTAAGGTATTCAAACAAAAACGGTGGACAGAAAAAGAGAATGTGTATTATTATTGATTAGCTAGCGATTACTGACTAATTATGGGAGTTCATAAAAGTAATTCAATAAATATTCTTTTCAATTTTATTATACTACTTCACAAAATACAATTAAAAAACTTACTATAAGAATTGTTTAATTAAAATACCAACGAACAAATAGTAGCTTTCCTATATTTATTTGATTATTATATATTATGTACCTAAATTTCAAAATACTTGTCAGTTACATCATGTACAGTTCTATTTATTACATAATGAAAATAGATATAACCTGATATATTTGAAAACGTATCTAAACGAAATTTTCCACTATGCAAAATCGAAAAACAAATAATACAAAATACAGGATGAAAGAAAGGACAATTTCAGAATGTGGTCATGAATACCAAGTGACTAGTCACTTGCAGCGGTGCATGTACAAAGATATTATATGTCTTGATTTCCCACAGGTACAGGTTTAAGGTTGGGCACAGTACATTTGTGTGTCGGGAAAATACAGAACACATTTTCGTTATTTTTGTTGTTTGTTCCTGCTGACAATGGACAAAATTGGCCATTTTTATCCAGAAAGTTTTACCAAATGTACAATAGTATATCTTTCAAATAAATTGGAGAGGATATTTTTATCTAAGTTCACACAAAAGTAAGTATTGTATGAAATGACTGGAAATGTATATGGTGCGTCTACTTAAGTTAAAATCATATTAAAATTTTTTTTATTAATATTAAGAAAAACAGTTATTCTTCATAAAAAGTTCTGTATAGTCTAAAACCCAAAATATAACTCTATATCAAATCGTTTTCCTTTTCGTTTGAAATATCGAAAATTATTTTAAAAAATCGTTTATTAGAATTGAAAACTATGTTCAAATTTGGAATTATATCCAAATAAAATTTCATTATTTTTTACATATTTTTCTCTACAACATTTTTTCTACAGACTAATATTTAATCTAGGATGCATATTAATACAGAAACATACATGCCTGTCATTAAACGTTATGTCAAAAATGTTTAGGAAAAAAAAAGACTTTTACAAAAAACAGTAAAATCTTATTTTTCAGCGTAGATGCATTTTATTGAAAATGAAAAAGTAGTTTTTATTTGTAATCAACTTTATAAACAATTTTTAATATTGTCAAGAACAAAAGTAGTTTACTCTTGTAGAACATGTACATTTTTCCACAATCTTACATAGGATTGAGAAAATTTGATGTCTAATGGTTGTATTTTAAGAACTTTTTATAAAAAAAAATTTTCTTAAAATTATTAATAAAAAAAGTTTTTTATACAATTTTTTTAAATGAAACATAGTACTTAAATTTTCATTTTCAAACTCATTTATATCAACACTAATCTCACATTTGTTATGTTTCCGAATTATTTGTTTTGCGATAGTTTGAGCTTATTAATATTAATGTTTTTACTAAATTTGATAAGAGTTTATAACAAATATTTGTGTAAAAAAAGTTTAGCCAAGTTACGTGGGCACTAAGGCTCCTTTTATGCATATGTCGTTGTGTGGTTTGCCGTCGGACGGCACAACGATCGACGTTTCCATGTGGTGCCGCTGTACCTTTTTATGCAAGTACAACGGTTCAAGCGGCTAGTAGATGTATTAAGTGCATTGTTGTCAGAGCAGTAAAAAAAAGATGGATCCGTGTAAAATATATTATTTATTAATATATTGTAAGAAGCAAAGAGGATCTGCAGAAATTCTTTAATTATGTTAGGACATCTACGACATTTTTCTACGAGCTCGCTGCAAAAGTCCTGGATAAAATGCAAGACATATTTCAATCCACAGATTCTTTTTTATATTTCTGTCTTTATACTCATGCGACGATACATCCTGTGAAGTGGGCTTAAGCAACAGTGCGCAGATTAAGCTGACAGGATGCTGACGTCATACACATGACGCGAAGACAAGCGCAGAAAAGCAGTCTGCATGAAGCAACGAAGATGCGCGTACCTATCCGGAGATCGACTCAAGGTTACTCTTCATAAAGTCTGTCATATGTTTTAGATACTTGCATTTGTAATACAAGTTAGTGATACCACCCCTCTCGTTTAATTACACACCCCCGTACACCACACATCCCAAATAGCTCTTCGTTGTCTTATTTCATTAATAAACTTTTCCGTATTCACATTTACGTCTACATTGTTTGAACTTACTGTGAAAACTACGAAGAGTGGCAATAGGCCTTCACTACGACAACAAAACGCTGAACATCTGCATAAAAATCCCCATATGTGTACGTGTATTTAAAATATTGTAACCGCAATTGTCGTCGAGCATTTGCCGTTCAAACCTATTTTCTCGACGGCATGATTAGACATACAACGACACGTTCACAAAACGCGACGGCAAATTTCTTGACGACAACTGCATAAAAGGAACCATTGCTCCGTATGTAAATAGTTTTCGAGCGTTTTGTGCCGTCCGACGGCAAACCACACAACGACATGTGCATAAGGCTTCTTTTATGCACATGTCGTAATTGTAATTGTAGTATAACGAAGCAGAATGTTCAGGATTTATAACCCTTATGTGCTTGCCATCGATAGCTCCAATGCAGTGAGGAAAATTAGCTCGTGCTTCGAAACGTATAGCTATTTGTTGCCAAGCATCTTCTGAAAATTCGGTAAAAACTTCTTGCTTTAACGTAATCCATAGCACACGACATGTTTTTGGCACAATAAAGCTTGCAGTGGTAAGTCCCACTCTAAACATGTAATGGAGATCCGTGTAAGTACAGCCAGAAGCTAGGTATCTGAAAACAGAAAACAATGTCTCTATCTACGTTTTTTTTAGGTAAACAGTTACAAGACAAGTGGAAACATATTCGTGATAGTTACGTTCGAAGTCTTAAAAATTCAAAAACCAAGTCTGGACAAGCACGAAAACAAACAAAAACCTATGTGTTCGCAGAACACTTACAATTTCTAACTAAAATAAAACCGCGCCCTACCGAATCATCTGTAGAAGACATGCTTCACGATAATGATTTTGAAACTAACAACAATAATGGCGATAATGCACATAATAATGATGTAAGTATTGAAAACGATGGTGTAGGAACTCAACAGTACCACGTTACCAATAAGCCTACCGAAATTCAGGATCAGACTAGTGCTACTAGCACCATATTTAGAAGAAAGCGAAAGAGACTAGAGGAGAAGCTGGAAACATATATAGACAATTATCAGCTACCCAAAGCGCAGACGAACGAGGAGAGATCAGATGATATGGATTTTTTTCGCTCGTTACTTCCAATTATTGCGCCACTTACAATGTCTCAGAAAATAAAAGTACGCATGGAGATAATGAAATTATTACTATCGTATACTGATACGCCTGTCCCACAAAACATAGTTCCATCTACGTCGTATGCATCTAATGCATTTCTACAACAATCATCACAATTCAGGAGACATGATGGTCAACAGCAGTATATATATAGTACTTCTGAACAACCCCAAGTAGCAGAAAAAATCACTAAAAAACAGCACTTTTATATGCCTTCACAGCCACCTTCAATCCTTACCCAGCTTACCCCACAACACCATCGGTCTTTTCAAAATATAACTACTCAAAACAGCCCACCTACATTGCCTCAACTGACAACACCATCAACTGATACTCAATCATAGGAGCAACATTTGGAAGAATATAGACGGGTTATTAGCCCAGATGATAGCAATTCCATGATATCACTACACAGTCAAGATTCCCTCCTTGGTGACAATTCATCACTGTTCAGTGAAAATGATTTCCATTGAAACAATGACATCAGTATTAAACACCAACACCGTAAGAGTGTAAAAGAGAACTATGTAATTCAATAATAAAAATGTTAATACTTTTTGTTCTGTAAATATTTTTAACCTACTTCACGTACAAGCAAATCAACTTACCTAAGGGTAATTGTCAGCATTTCTTCTGGTGAAAACAATAAACTTTGCACCAACTCCGGTTTACGTGTAATAGTTTCTCTCACTTTTGCAGCGAGCTCGTCGAAAGATATCGTAGACATTCTAACATAATTAAAGAATTTCTGCGGGTCCTCTCTTAATTTTACGAACAAGTTTCGGAATGCGCCATCGATATATCGGGTTCTATTAATAGGATGGACAGCCCATCGTCTCTGCCTTCTTTGCTTCTTTCGATAAATTAATAAATAATATAATATACACGGATCCATCTTTTTTTACTGCTCTGACAACAATGCACTTAATACATCTACTAGCCGCTTGAACCGTTGTACTTGCATGAAAAGGTACAGCGGCACCACATGGAAACGTCGAACGTTGTGCCGTCCGACGGCAAACCACGCAACGTCATGTGCATAAAAGAAGCCTAAAAGAAGCCTTATAGCTGTCATTTAAACATAATACATTTATTCTTATCATATCCATTTTAATCTAATCTTTTTGTGTTAATTTCCATGGATTTTGTCTAGCTTTCGTCAAGAAAAGACGTGCATATTTTAATTAATAAAAATTGTTTTTTAAAAACCTATTACTGATAATAGGTTTTTCAAAATACATATTTGCCACGAGTGTGAGTGTGAGGTTAAAATATTAAAAGTGTGGTATTCACAGTCAGTCTCCTGCAACACTCCCTATTCGAAAAACCAAAGACTGACGATGAATACCAGACTTAAATAATTATTACCAGAAAAAAAAATGAAGGAGAGGAAGAAAACTAGGAAACGACGAAAAATCGGATAAAAAAGACAAAGAAGAAGAAAAGGAAGAAAAAAGGAAAAAAAAAAAAGAAAAAGAAAAAAAGAAGAGAAGAAAAAGAATAAAATGAAAAAAAAATCATGGAACGTTTTTTAAATAAACACAAAGAAATTAATAATTTTTGGTTCAAACAACGTTACAAAAAATTCCATTTACTCATATACGAGATAAAACATTTGATAAATGAATTTCAACAGAACATTATATAGCGTTTTTGCTAATTTGAATTCCCGTTCAAACAAGGGGTAGATCGACTTGCTGTCTGTCACACTCGCAAGTTTTGAGTAGGTATTTCGACGTTGATGATGGGTCGAGGTAATTCAGACCTTCGTTCGTTTGATTAGCGGTGTTGATTGACATACGCTTCAGTTCCTCGATGCGATTCACGAATTAACGTCGAAATATATAACAGAGTTAAACAAAAACAATTGTTTGATATCAATAAAATGATTTTAACAATAGATGCATGGAAGTTATAGTGTTTTAAAATATTACCATTAAAATATCGAAAATGTTCAATGATTTTTACTCTTCTATTCGCGATTTAAATACATTTTCGCGGGCCTGTCATTTGTCACCTATAAGTAGGATGTTTATTTATTTATATGTGTTTTTTGGGCGGGATTTTGTATTTGGGATTTTTTAACTATTTTTAGATAATATTCTTATTTTAATAGTGTTTTTGAGTTTCATTTAGTGTTAATTTAAGTTTAGTTTTAACGCTTTCGTCATAAATATTATATTTATCATATGTATGACTCAATAATTTGTTGGAAATATTCATCTTTTGGTTGCTACAAGAACATCTAGAAATATGTATTTATTAAACCCAGGACATATTTTATTATGTGGTTTAAAGGACACTTCAGGTACCAAACGTTTATTATTGATAAACTTATTTAAAAATCTTACTATCCGTATTATTATATTATGAAGTGAACTATGTAGTACTTTGTATACATATAAATGGTAATAAGTACAACCGTCACAAATCAGATTGCAGTTTTATTCTAAATAAAGTTTTGCAAAATTTCAATATTGTGAATTTGTAGATATCCATTTATCATAAGAAACAAAATTTTACTTACACTTGGAAAATAATGAATACTTCAGTTTTGATTTTGACATTAACACCATATAGATTACAATTTGGTGGGGGCTTTTTCGCAGATTTCATTTTTAATATAAACACATACTATAAGAAATAAATAAATAAATTTAAAGCTAAAAAGTAAGAAAAAAAAGTCGAATTGTAATTGATACAAATTAAAATATAAACAATGAACACAAACGTCAATGTTGCCAAATGATGAACTGATTTTAAAACAAAATTAATAAATAAACTGAAATTTAAAAAAAATCAATATAATAAATCGGTTTTTATAAAAAAATCCTTAAATAAATATAGAATATGATTACATATTACTGGACACAAGATTTTTAAATAAAAGGTCTTATCCACTTTTTCAAGGGCTAAAATCTGACAGCGTAGCGAAATAACGCTACTTTCGGCAACACTGAACGATATCCTACTTATAGGCACCTTCTATAAATTTCCTCCAGAAGGCGTATCACTTAGTTTGAATCGTAAATATCCAGTAAAGAAAATATAGGAATCGTCGATTTTTAGAAACATCGAGTTATAGATAAATCTTTACGGTTTGGGATCCCTTAATCTTATTTCAGCATTTTCGCGTTGATGTCTCTCTGTATATGTGTCTGTGAGATAATTAGATAATTAGAACAGTAGACATAATAGTACGAAAATTGCAAAGAATGTGGTCAAAAAAACTTATTTACTTAAAGAAGAAGCTCAAAAGCTAGCTCTAGTTACTTTAGTATGCTGAATCTGATAGTAGTGTTGCTAAATCTCTAGGCAAGTTTGCCTAAACTTTATTTTGAAAATTTATTTATAGTATTTTTGTTCAGGTGAAATAAAATCAAAAACGACGACTTTACCAAAAAGGAATCTAAGATTGCATTCGAGAATATCTGCCCTTAGTCAAAAAAAGGAAGAGGCTATTTCTGATGAAATCTCAGATCAAGGTTCTCTGCATTTAATCTAGGCAAAAAAAATTGAAACTAACATAGTGTTTTTTGTTTTTATTTTTTATACAAAGTTGAACTAAAGAACAAAAGTTTATCACAAATGAGAATAAAATTGCTATCTGCGGCGCTTGCCTGTGATAGAACTGGGGTGTCAGATCGTACAGCAGCTATAATAGTTTTTTCTGTTTTGGAAGATATGGGTGTAATTTCAAAAGAAAATGCCACAATGAAAATACACAGAATGAAAATTAGAAGAGCCCGAACAACACAACGAGAACTTTGTATGGCCAAAACTACGGAAAAGCCTTATCGGATTAAACTTTGATGGCAGAAAGGACCAAATGTTAATTTATGAAACTACTGCCAATAAACGCCGGCGTATTACAGAAGAATGTTAGTTAGTGTTAGTGTTAGTTAGTGTTAGTTAGTGTTAGTTAGTGTTAGTTAGTGTTAGTTAGTGTTAGTTAGTGTTAGTTAGTTAGTGAACCAGGTTCCCGATATATGGAACACGTTTTTCTAAAAAAATGGCACAGATTTAAATATAAAAACATTAATTATACTTTTTATGCACCAAAATTTTAATTTAAATAGCTTAATTGCTGTTGGATCAGATGGAACGGTAGTAAATACTGAAGTGAAAAACGGGGTTCTTAGAGAAAGAACTAAATCGTCCCCTGCAATGGCTTATTTGCTTATTTCACCTCAATGAGTTTCCCTGCGACACCTAATTAAAGAAATTGATAATGATACTTTAGATCCCCGCGGACACAAAGGTCCAATTGGGCAAAAGCTAGAATCCTGCGAAACTTTTCCGATAGTAAAGTTTAGAAGAATGGAATCAAATCTACCATAGCTGGATCGCGACGAGTCTGATTTAAGTACAGATCTGCAATATTTGTTGACAGTGCAATCAGTTGAAATTAAAAATATATATGCTTTTTTCGCCTCAAGAAATCCAAGAAAACTATCACATGCTAGATGACTTACAACAGCTAACCGAATTATGAGGCTTTACGTAGCAACTGAACTTCTAGATGAAAGTCTTTGTCTGTTGGTAACTTACATAACCAAAGTCTATGTCCCTTCTGGTTTAGAATGAAATTTCGACCATCACGTATTGACGGAACAAGACATTTATTTCAGTTAATCAAATTGTGTAGCTTATTACCTGGAAAAGTTAAAAAAATTATTTGTCCCGTTATTCAAAGTATTGGATTTTTCGCGCATCTGGAGAACATATTATTATTGTCAATGCTTACGGATGAAAATCCGAAATACTAAGAACTTGGTATACGGCGTATCCTAAAGGCGAGGAGTGACGGTAGACAAATGATACGGGAGTTTAATATATCTGTGATACTGTTTGATGTCGAGCATTATTCGGATTTGATTTCTTGGAATGAAGTGAGTATTACTGAACCACCACTAACAATTCATATGGATATGAATCTAAATTTATCTGGTCTGTCTTTTTAATTTTCCATTTTTACCTTGTAATACTTGTAACATATTGAAATAAATATGTGATGCGTATCACCCTGTAATAATATCAATGTTTGGCGATAGCCGTTTTTTGTATTAATATTGAGTTTACCTTCTTGTGGAATATACCGAAATAAAGTCAGTAATAGTACAACATTTATTTGTTTTATTTCTCATAATAAATTTGCTCCAATAAACTTAATAACTGAAAATATTAAAAATTAGTAATTAATTAAATATATTACAATACTCAAGCAGTGGAACGTTGCGTTCGCCTAGTAACTGAAACATCAGCTGCGGTGTGTGCTCTGAGTAATCGCGATGTATTTATTAAAAATAGAGTCCAGTCAAGACATATGTCGCCTTGTTTTGAA